TAAAACACTGCTCAAACTAGCTATAAAAAGATAGGCCCAAGCAGCAATCTATATCTAGCCACAATAAGCCGGGAGTAGGCCAATATGTGAGGAGTCGTCAGAACCATTGAGGATCAAAGAATACATAAACAGCATCGAGATCCCAAAATAAAACGGATCAGTGCTCCCAGCTCTCAACTGTTAAGTCTATTATGCTGTATTCAAGTTTATGTGCCACTTTGTTCACCCACTGATACTGAGTGTTTGAATTGCCATCTTCTCAATGTTATCACTTGGCTATTGATATTCCTTTGGCACTGGCTAAATAGCTTTTTTTGAGGGGGGGCACATGTGACCCCACATTCCCCCACTTCTACATTTCACCTAAACCACAGAATATGCGCAATTCAACTCTAGACTGTAAGTATACTGAGACTGCCTTACCTTTGCTGTTTTCATCCTCTCCCGTCTCCTCCTCTTCCACTTCCTCAACATCCTCCATATCTGCTGGGTCCATCTCAGCCTGATCTTTGCTGCTCAAGGAGAGAGGGGAAGGACAGAGGGTGGAAATGTTAGCCAAAACAAAGCAGTACTTATGAAGGAACATTTAAGATTGGCCAAACTACTCCTGCCATCTTTTGGCTGATCACTGACCACTATGCCAGCCACACGTGGCAGTAATAGCATGACTAACAATGAAGAGCCAACTGCCACGCTGACACACCTTGCCCAAGATCATCCTGATACTGAGTGAGGGCCAGCAGTGATGCGGTGCAGCTCTAAAAATTCACTAGTAAACAAAACTGGAGTCTGCCTTTACCCATGATGCTGCTCAAAGCAGTGAAACATGATGCCCAACTTCAAGATGCAGCACTATCACAGTTCAATACCGAACATAACACAGCTTCACTAGCCCGTCTCATCCTTCCATCAGGCTGCAGACTATTGTGAAAAATCAATGCCCAAGAGTGGAAGAATTTAAGAGTCAAAGAGACAGCTTCCATCCGATTGGGCCATTGTTACAGAGCCATACATGTTTTAAAGGTGGCCTGTAAAACACGCATTTAAAGGGGGAAAAAAGTAACCCTAGCTGTTGGAGAGGTGTGTGGAGGAGCTCCTACTGCACTGCACCCTTAGATTTAACCTGAGGGGCACTTTCTGAATCTGAAAACTCAGTACCAGAAACTGCAGTTCCTCCAATGACCACATGAAGCTGGCTCCAAAAACAAGTCCAACTACTGTAGGCTTCATGTTAAAAAGTCCCATTTCATATCATAATGAGTGTGCAACTATAAATCACTGCCTCTTTTGCAACAACGACACAGGAATTTTAGAATAAAAGGCTGGGGTGTGGATGCTTTGACAGGTGTCCCACCTGCAGCAAACCCTTTGTCAGGCTTTACCGCAACTAATCTGGACCTCTCCATGGTTCTGCTTTTGGTATATTCAAGGTTTACCTTATAAGCACAAAAAATGTCACCTTCAACTTAAAAAAGAAAAAAAAAAACGAGTTGACAGAGAGGCCCAATGTTTAATTTTAGTTATCAACACCACATAATGTACTTACTTGTCGATGTCTGCCATATTAACCGAGTCTCAAGTGATGCTAGAAAGAAAGAACAGAACCAGTTAGCTTAGAAATCCTGGATTACATGTTATTGTTACCAGAGGGGTGCACTACACAGGCTTTTTGCAAAATTGTTCAGCCTAAAGGCAAAGCTGCATCTATCCTAACCAGGTTAGGAGATGGCAACTTATTAACACAACCTGCTCAAAATGACTAGTTTCAGTTTAAAAACTGGCTGCAAGAGCCAGAGTAAATCATTTAATGACAATAGGCAGAAATTTCATACGCACAAAGGTGTAGTGCAATTTGTATAAGTACCAGAGGGCACCAAAGACACATGCATGAGGTTACGCATGATTGAGCTACAGCACACTTTATGTTATGCAACTTCTGTTCTCACAGTGGAAAGTTCAGGAGTAATGACCACAACCAAAATGCGGCTCTTATCAGTAGTTCACCCGTCTGTTGAGCCTCATCTCTACCTTTACACATCTTTTTCTAGTAAGCAGTTAAAGGGTGAATACCACCACTCTGAACAATTTTATGTAATATACTTAAAAACAAAAAGCCTGGCATGTCCACTAATATTAAGAACTTGCAGAAAGGAAAGGTATCTGCGGGGGCTTTGAGGATATTAATGTGCATTCATGTTTTTAATTAGTACACTAAGATTTCTGTTGAACACCGTTTACAACCAACTTCTGAGCTAATATAAAGATACTGGTTTAAATTTAACAGTCCTTCATTGTGTTGTTAAACAGCTACTGGAATGTTACTGAGCACCTCCACAGTAAAAAAATAAATAGAACAATTTCTGCAATAAGCACCCCACAATGTTGTTAGAGAACACTAATAATAAACCACAAAAACTCGAGTTACTTCATATCAAGTCCCCTTCCCTTCTTATTACCACAAAAGAACTAAAATGATATATAGTTTTTATTGTATAATTTTAAAAATGTAAAACTGCAGCCTCACCATTTTGATGCAAATGAAACTAAACTGGCTGTATAAGTAATGCTACTCCTGAAAATAGTGCACACACAGCACTACCCTCCACTCCAGAGGAAATGCATGAAAAATGCATATAAAAGGAACCCTAGGCTGCAGTCAACACAGCACTGACAGCATCTCACGAAAGATCAAAGCAGAGCCTTATGAGGCAATCACACACTGATTAAAAACAAAAGACTGAAAATGACTTTAGTGCATATGAATGTCATCTTTCCCTCATTAGTCCTTTGCCGATCAGTACAGCAGTCTGTTTAGCACTGTGGCTACTATTACCTGCTATGATCGATATTCAAATAAACTTCACTAATCTCTAATAACACGCCCATCCCCAAATAATTAAATAAATAATTAACTTCTTTTTCCAAAGAATTTTTATTAAACACTCAGGATTTGTCTAAATCCATCACATGCTTATTTTAAGAGTCCCATCCCAGTCTACATGGGATCAACCCTGGCTGTTAGTCAGTCACCCCCTTGCCACTCAGCCAAGGCCACCTTCCCCTGAGAGACTGATTAGGGTGGCGGGTCCTTGATGCAATTCAGTTGCCTCTCCCTACAGACATATTCCAACTCCACCAGCTGGGAGTTTAGCTGCTTGACAGCAGTCCCTTTTCTACTCCTGTAGCCTGGTACAGTTTGGTTTAGCACTACAGGAACCAGTTCTCCACCAGCTCTAGGATGCGACTTGCATGCAATTATGTCCCATGGAACAGGAAAAGAACTGCTAAAACCCATAAAGGATGGACCCGAGACTCACTAAAGAGGCAGCCATGGAGGAACACATGAGCCAAAGTATTTTTTTCCCCATTAAGAAAAAACAAAACAATTATTCAATTTTTTAAAGTCTAATGGACTTTGACTACCACTACTTTATCATGACAATGTTACAAGACACATTTTATATGAATCATCACTGACCTAGCAACACATGAATGACACGACGGCATTTCAGCAGAGTGCAGATGATGGTAAAAGGTCCATAATCCTTTTCCTGACTGCCATGTTCTTGCTGCTGTCCCAACTCATTAACTACATTCAACTGTCATCCCAGGGGCAAATCTGTCCCTTGTTAGCCTGTAACACTAGCAGCTGCAGGGCTTCAAGAACTAAAGCCCAGGAGCTTATAATCTATTACACTTAACTTTCGACAAATTAGAATCGAAACCAAAAATCTATGTAGGTCTTTCAACAGAGCAAGGAAATTATTTCAACAAAGCAGCATATCATAACTGTTTATCTCAGGTGGGCTATATTCAGCCGATACGCCAAGATTATTCAGCTGCAGAGCTGATGTGACACTTTTAGCTTAGAAAAGTCACATGACAGATCAATGTGTTTCTTCCCTCTTGCAGAGGATAACTGATTTAGGGAGAAGCCTGCCTTGTTGGCTGGTTTGTGACTTTAATTACATCCCATTTCTCAAATGAAACCTGCAGTCTGCCACTTTTGGAATAGCAAGAAACGTTTTTAGGCTTTCACTTTTTAAGTTTACACTGACAAATGAATAAATCTGAAAGTGTCTAGGAATAATAAAAGCACATGTGCTTTGTTACTCTAGGATGACACCCACCATCCCTACCACCTCTCTATTTCTCCAAATTATTGATAAGTACTGGAGAAAGCTCTTAAGACAAAAAAAAAAAAAAAAACAATTTCCACTGTGCAGAATGAGATGACAGTGTTTTTAGTTTGGGTAGTTGGCTTATAATGCACGAAACAAAGACTTGGGTATATTACGCACAGGATAATACCAGCCTGGAGCATTTTCTATCAAATTGCCCAGGCCAACCTGCGTCAATATCAACAGCATGCCTCATTGTTTAAGTCCCTAAAATACCTCAACTTGTTTTTTTTATAGTGAAAAGTGATAACAACATCAGCGCTTCCAGAGCTATATGTGGCGATTCATTTGAACAAAAAAAGATTTAAGCTGCTCCCACTTTGTATGGTGTGTAATTGCCATTAAAAAAAGAAAAAAAAAGACAACTTAAACCCACCTACGTCTTCCCTAGAGGAGACTAATTGCAACACGGAGCAGCTAATTGATTACATTCTCCTAAAAACATCAAACTGGCCCAAAGACAGACCCTTACTCAAGATAGCCATTTCTTCTATCCCTGCCCAGCGACCACGTGTTGCATGCTGAAGTCATGTCGACCCATTCATGACTAACAAAAAGCCCCGGGTGGATGCCTGCCTGCTGAAACCACATTTCGGCTTCATTTGGCAGCCAACCTGTTGAAACGTTTACTCATTTTACCCACATAAAACAAGCCGGACTCCGGCTAGTGTACAGACCAACTTTAGCCGGCCTGCCTCAGTCTAGTATCAAAGAGCTCTTGTGTGTGCGCTGCTAGTTAAAGCTAGCTTGCGTGCTGCTAGCTCGATGCGCACTACTCGGGGAGAGCAAGTGGGAGGAACAGCTTCGACAGACACGGTGCTGTAACTAGAAAATATGGGCCAGTTAGGAAGTGGTGTCAACGCTCCAGCACCACGTTTTAACCAGCTTCCCCTTATGTAATAGAACCGACTATCCAATTCAACCAAACGCCGCGTGCCGTTATCAGTAAAGCTCAGTCTCGTGAACAGTCCCCCGTCCCCCTCCATCTCCACCCACCCATCCTCCACAAAAATAAAAATAAGGTCAAGTCCAAAATTACAAGAAAGGAGACACGTGTCAACAAATGTCGAAAAACGCCGACAAGTGCCGGACTTAGCCAGCGTTTTGTCCTCTCTGCGAATGCAATGACTGGTCAAACAGTCCGGTGGAAGCGGACGAACATAAACGCTGTTTTATTGGGGTTTTTTCCCCAAATCGCGTTTAACGTTAACACACATCATGGTGGAGCCAGTCTCAATGGCTGCTGCCACTGTCTGACTTGACTAGCATTAGCAAAAGCAGCGCTGTCACCCTCTTGCCACCGTTCGCTCATACAGTGGGACTGAAATTCAACTTCGGGGACGACGACCAAGTTTGGGGCGTTAGCGCCGAAGCCATTCCCAACTCCCGTCTCTTACCTTCGCTGTCTAGCCGGAGGCTGGTTTGGTTAGCGGCGCTACGCAGTGAAGCGGTCTCGGGGAAGAAAGAGACTCCGCTCCGATGGCGGTAAAAGGGAGAGAGATCCCGCCGCCTGCGCTCATATACATCCGACGTCATCACGTAAACCGGCAATCACCGAGGCAACGCTGTGCATGGGAGGGGCGGCGGTGAGGTTGCCCCTAGGGGGGGAAAGCAGAGGATGAGGAAACATCGTTCCAGTCCTCCTTATAGTCTTCTAATCATCTGGTTGCTGCTCTTCATCACCTCATTCATTCATTATCGTCACAACTCTCTCTTAATCAGCGTCTTAAACTTCTTCACCATGTCATTTCCAGTCATTATCTTATACCACGATTGTCATGATCGCAGCTACAGCTCCATTGCCTTCATCGTGCAAGCAGTCGTCTTCATCATCACTGCCTGGGGAACTGATTACACTCATCATCAAATCAAATCAAAATTTATTTATATAGCACATATTAAAAACAACAGTGTTGACCATAGTGCTTCACAGTCAATAAAAACATGAGACAGTTAAAACAAACAATAGAAGAGGACAACAAACAATAGGTAACAACGCAACAAGCTAAAACAGCCAACTAGACAGAATCAAAAGCCAAAGTAAAAAAATAAGTTTTAAGACGTAATTTAAAAGACTGGATAGACTCGGCAGTGCGAATATGAACGGGGAGGTTATTCCAGAGTCTGGGTGCCACGGACGTCATGGACGTTGTGACGCTCGTCCTTTTGCCATAATCTTCATTCTCAGTTTCCCCAGCAAGATTCGTGCTCCCCCTGTTATTAGCATCAAAATCACCATGTCTTCACCAGCATCCCCAGCCACTTTGACTACAACAAACCACACTTTGGGACCTTTTGTTGCCGGTATCTGTTTTAGTCATAAAAACTCTCAGACTTCAGTGCTAATGTGTGTTTCAACTGTTCTAGCTATGTTTTAGCTTTTCTGTGAAGCACTTTGTGATTTTTATCTTGAAAGGTGTTATGCAAATAAAATGCTACTTACTTTTTACTTTACTTACATGGTGACCCAACAACGTACTCACACTTTATGGTGGTTTGCTTAAAAATGAACTGTGTGTACACCGCTGTTACACTGAACAATAGCACACCCAAAAAAGTTTTTTTTATAGATTGGGGACTTAAAATCTGAGATAGGTAATGGTTAGCAATGGTTAGCACTCTTGCCTGGCAGCAAGTAGGTGCTGGGTTCAAATCCACCATCTGGCCAGGGCCTTCCTGTGTGGAGTTTGCATGTTCCCCTTTGTCTGTGTGAGTTCTCCCTCTGGGTGCTCTGGTTCCTCCCACAGTTTAAAGGCATGCAGTTAGTGGGGTTAGGTCCTGTGGTGATTCTGTCCATCAATGTCCCACCATATAAGCGAAAATTTATCAGGTGGTTTTCGAGGGAAAGTGTATGCCACCGGTTAAAAAAAAATAGCCTACACACATTTGAGTGATGACATATCTCAAAACAGAGACAGCCGGATAGAAAACCTCTTCCTAGTGACCCGGAATGAAGCCAGAAGCAAAGACTGGAAGGATTTCACTGTGATTCATCCATCAGGCAGCACCGGACTCAGTGTTACTAACACCAGGCACACTGCTTGGCTTCTACCCTCCTCTGAGCAATACCTGGCACCAGCCCAGAGGTCGGATCTCTCTCATTCCACACTTTCCCAGAAGACAAAGCCTTCCCACATGTGTCTTTGATGGCACAAAACTCAAAAGTGAATATTTCCCTGAGTCATGCCAGCCAGAAGCACAGGAACAGAAAGCAGATAAAAACAGTGAGAGGAATTGTTTTCCAGCTTTCACATTATAGGTCCACGTGAGAGCTGCCAGGTAAACCCCACTTTGAAACACGTGTATTTTTATTGTCAAAACCTACCAAAAGCCTTTTCCCCCACAAGGACACCTATATCCATTTCTGTTATATTAATTCATTTTTATTTCTAGTGTTACTTTTTTCTTGCAAGTTTTGTGCTTTGCTTGTGTTTTCTGTTTCTTCTCTCTTTTCAGTGACTTCCTTCATCTTTTGAAAAGTCACTTACATTATGCATCTTCTGCGCTTTTCCTTCCTGTCTCTGTGTCTGTCCCTGTGTCTCTGTTTTTGTCCTCTTGTGTGTCCTTCTATTTTTCTGCCCTGCCGACTGCTTTCCCCCCAGTTTGTTGTCTTGTGTTTCTGAGTTACTGCTGAAGACTTTTCTTTTTCCTGTTTTGTGCAGTGTCTTAAGTTACGAGTTTTATACAAACAGTCCACACCAGGGGCCTTAAAGTTGCTCCCTGAATGGAATGTAATCATCATTAATGTTAGCAATTACTTCTGCCAGAGAGGTTGTGTTTTTGGTAGTGTTTGTGTGCATGTGTTTCATTCTGTCTGCAAATGTGGGATTTCAAAAAGTTCTAAATTAATTCTGGTAAACTTTGTAGAGTGGGGTGATGTTAAAACGCCATTAAAATTTGCTTTACATCCACCAAGGCCTTCAAGGGCAGCGTAACTATTCATTGGTCAAAAATTGACAAAAAGCCTTAAACTTAGAAACTATGAGTGTTTGACTTCTTATCTCTCCTTCAAGGTCAGCAGATTAATCCGAAGGTCAAAATGATTCTATATAAATTAGATGTAAAGCTATTTAATTCTTACTCCCATAGTTTGTAATTACAACACATAGGCATAAGGCATATAGGGAATATAGTGGGAATTTAAATATCACATTACTTTGGACCTCTTACCTCTACTTCAAGGTCAAATAAAGTCAAACTTTCATGAAATGCCTTTTATTTTTAAAACATTAGACATGATTTACATCCAAATATCATGTCACCTTTGACCTCTGACCTCACTTTTACATTTCTGGCTTCCTGTCATGTTGATCCCAAAATGTGTCATATCTTTAACCTGTTAGCAGTCGGACGTACCGCCCACGGTACATTGGATGGTTTAGGGGACTAATTGGACTGCTAAGGGGTTAAAGAGAACCTTGACTAGAGAATGAGCTGCTTAGAAATATACTGTAGTATCATTTTATGGGTAAGGGTTAACCCTAACCCTAGGGACAGTTATTCATGTCCAGTTATTTACAAATCAATATTAAGTTCCTACTCCTACATAATGTTTATATACGAAATATTCTACTATTGCCTTAAAAGTAAATAAAGCCGAGCGAGTGAGCTTTGAGCTTTGATGTCAAAAAAATGGTCATCATTAAAAACTGTAGTCAACCAACCAACAGGGGCTGACCCGCTGGCTCCTATGATGTCTTATTCCATTGCACTGTTAGCAGCATTTCTATAAACAATAATTACATTTCATTATATTTTTATTCATCCATTTTATGTTGTACAGGAATGATTATTCACTAACATTTGAATATATCACCACATGCTCTTTTAGCTGGAGTGTGGATATGGGACTCCAGACTGCAAATCTGCTCCAACAAATGGGAGTTTCGCCTGCTGCAAAGAAACTGCCCTGTTCTTGTCATCGTTTTTCACACCACTGACTGTTATCTGGTGACATATCCACCAGTCAATAAGACCCAAACCATTTTTTAGCATTTTTTCCCAGTCAGTAGGAATACAGTATGGTGAAAAAGCCAGCCATCATTTCTTCATATCCTGCTTCCAAGGAGACTTTATTTTTATGTCATTAGCAGCCTGATGCAAAAACACATAATTTGTTCCCATTTCTTCCGTTAAATCTTTTTTTTTTTTAAGACTAAAAATAACAGAATTTGACAGGCATAAAATAGCATTGTAGCACCAACAAGATGATTCCCAAAGAGCTTCTTGATAAAAACTTGACATATCTCATCATGGGTGTGCAGTAGACGACAAAAGAAGAAGTGGCAGGCCTAAGATTCTACAGCATCTGAGAGTCATGGCATTAAGAATCGGGAAAAATCTCAGCAAAGAATATATATAAACAAGAGGTCTTATGAAGTGATGAATCCAAATTTGAAACTTTTGGTTTAAATTATTGTCAATATGTATGGAG